CAGGCAAAGTTTCATTATTACCCAGATAAGCATATTTAAGATGTGGCAAGCTCTTAAGTTCAAGGGTAGGTGCATGCTGTAATGAGGGCTTGGGAGGAACAAACTCTTCAAAATTCAAAGGTTCAAAGTGCATACCTGGGCTAGCTTTAAGGAAGCTAGACTGCTGTTCCTCAAATAAAAAGTCATAAGTCTCTTTAAGAAACTTCTCATCAATATCCAACTGAATGAAATTGTCGTGGCAAAACTGATCTGCTTCTTTTTCAACTGATGTATTTACTTCAAAAATGCTTTGGCATTCTTCAGAATCATCCATGTATTTGAGAGATCAGAAGACATTAACGGTGACATGTTGATCGGCCACGCGCATGATTAGTTCGCCCCGCTCACAGCCGATGAGAATTTGACCGGTGGCTAGGAAAGGTCTCCCCAATATGATGGGTGCAGTGGCATCGACCTCACAGTCTAGAATCAGAAAATCAACAGGAAAAATAAACTTGTCAACCTTCACGATGACATCTTCAATTCGCCTCTCTGGATGCACGTGTGAACGATAGGCTAATTGTATGACGACGGAGGTGGGTCTCGCATTTCCTATCCCAAGCTTTACGAATATTGACTTAGGCATCAAATTTACACTTAAACTCAGGTCACATAATGCCTTCCCAATGAACTTGTCTCTTATCAAACACGGTATGATAAAGTTACTCGGATCATGTCTCTTTCATGGTAGCTTGCTTAAGGAAGAGCAAAATTCTTTTGCCATGTCAATTGTTTCGTACTGCTCAACATTTCTCTTCTTGGTGACAATTTCCTTAAGAAATTTTAGCATATGATGGCATCTGCTCCATTGCTTCTACAAAAGGGACATTGATTTACAGTTGACTCAGTATATCAACAAACTTTTTAAACTGGATGTCTTCGTTGTGCTTTTTCAGTCTTTGCGGAAAAGGAGGCGGGGGTCTAGCTTCCTGTACTGATGGGGTACGAACAGAAGTTACTGCGACATTTTTGTTTGCCCCTTCAGTTTCTCTACTTGATGAACTTTCAGATTTATCCTCCTCCTCTGGTGCTTCTTCTAGCACCTCTTGATCAGCGTGACTGGTCTTAGGGGGTGACTCGTCCTTCGGTGTTCCCCCAAACTTGTCTTTAAGATTAATCTGTGTACCACTTCGGAGAGTTAGCACACTACATTGCTCTTTGCCATGAGGTTTCGTGACTTCAGTGTCACTCAAAAAATGTTCTGGTCTGCGTTCTTGTAATGCCGCGACAATTTGACCTACCTGACTCTCCAGCGCCCTTAGTGACGAACTATGGCTTTGAAGTAGGGCTCCTTGATTTTTAATGGAGGTAGAATGGTCTTGCAGCATTGTCTTCGTTGTTGCAATGAACTCTTGCATTGTGGCTTCCAACGAACTAGTATTAGATGAAGATGGCCCTCCCTTATTAGAATTATGCCATGGCATATTAGATTGATAGCCCTGGGAGTCATTGAAATTCTGCTGCCGAGCTGGCTGATGGGCACTACTGGTTCCTTGATTTCCTCATGAAAAATTTAGATGCTGTCGCCATCTAGGATTATAGGTGTTGGAATAGAAGTTGTTGTTGCCTCGGTTGAAGTTGCCCACAAAGTTGATGGATTCTTGATTGGTTGGGCAATCACTCTCATTGTGATTGTCGTGGCATAATAATAAACATGCTGAATTGGATGCCTTCACTTCTCTCACCTCACTTGGCCTTTGTAAATTCTTTAGCATGTTGGTAATGGCCGCAAGCTGAGCGGACCCATTGTCTTTAGAATCTAGCTCAAAAGTCCCATGTGTTTTGCACCCGAATCCAAGCCTAGTATAGGGAAACTGATAATCATTGGTAGCAATCCTGTTCAAGATGTCAAATGCCTCTGCTGGTGATTTGTCAAGTAACGTCCCATTTACCGAGGCATCTAGCATCATCCTCATAGATGCATTTACTCCATTGTAGAACATCACCACTTGTGTCCAATCTTGAAACCATGGTTTGAGCACTTGCGAAGCAATGCCTTGTACCGATCCCAACATTAATACATCGACTCGTCATCAGCTTGACGAAATGAAGCAATGTCGTTCCTTAATTGGGTGTTCATGTTTGGAGGATTATACCACAACAAAAACATTTTGCACAGATCTGTCCACGACTCCATAGAACCCGTTGGAACGCCACTCAACCAAGCCCTCGTTCTGTAACGCAGAGAATACGAAAAAAGCTTCAATTTTAGAACATCTTCGTGCACCCCTTGCTGGCGAAAAAAATCGCATACCTCCAAGAAGTTACGAATGTGCTGCATGGCATCTTCATTTGGTATGCCCCTAAATTGCCCTATAGAATTTAGCATATTGAACATGACAGGTTTGAGCTCGAAGTGGGCTGCCTGAATTTTTGGGGCCACTATTCCAAGATTTAAATCATCTAAGATCGGGTTTAAGTGATCACGAATAGCACAAGGCCTGGCTGCATTCCCAGCATTTGGATTTGCCTCGGCATTCTGATCATCCTCATGACCAATGCCTTGATTTCCGATTTGGTATATGCTTACACGTTGAGCGCGTCTTCTTTGCCTAAAAGGCCTCTCAATTTCTAGATCAATCGGTTCTAATGGCTCTTCAGGGTTGCTTCTGGTCATGTACCTAGAAAAACAATTAAATAAATTAAGGAAAGAAAAAAGTAAAGCTAGTTAAAAAGAAAATATGAACAACTAAAATAAGAATGCTATGACAAATCAATTTAACTTCCAATTGCCAGTTTCCCGGCAACAGCGCAAAAAACTTGTCTGCTGGTTGTGAGTATTATAAATAGGTGAGGATATGTGTGCAAGTATACACAATCGAACAAGTAATAACGTGATAAGTTGAGTATCGTCTCCACAGGAAATTAGGGAAATCAAATAGGTTTGTCAAGGCACTTTACTTTGTCACCTAAGTAAAGTTAGTGATGGTATGTACAAATGAGAATGTTGTGGCAAAATGGAATAGCTGATGTGGAAATGAAATGATGGTAGAGTGATGGTAATTGAAAATGTTGTGGCAAATTAAATTGTAATACGTGCAAACAAATGGAAATGCAAGGCAAAATAAAATGTAAATATACAATTTAATATATATAGGACTTTAGCTTTCTCAAATGACAAGCAGCAATGGGAATAAGTGGAAGGAGTCACAAGGAAAATCTAAGTCTATGTCTCTGAATGGTGTTTCTTCTAAGCTTACCCTGCCCGACAGAGTCTACTGAAATGCCCTATGCTATCTCTAGTAAGGGACTCGAAAGATTAAAGATGCCCTGGAAAAACCGATTGGCGTAAGCCCTTGCAGTGACCCTATTGGTTCAGTTAATAGGATATGTCTCGGCAATACCTTTTTGCGACATCATTAACATCTAACCTATCGTTTATACACAACTCCTTTTAGTCGAATGAAATCATATCCTTATCTCTAAGGTGGATTAGGCCTAGTTACTATCTAGAACCCCTTGTTTGTGTAGTTCCTCCCTAGCTTCTCTCAAAGACTAAAGATATTTTGCCAAGGCATTCTCTCGAACCCTAAGCACCCTTCTAAGGAAATGCTACTCTCGTAGCTCCTATAACCTTAAAGCATTAAGTCTCACAAAACAAAATAGAATAAAGCATAAAACATCAACCATTCATTAATATAAAAACTTAAACATCCAAGTGAACTCCCACCAAATAAGATTAGTTCATGGTGGGGTTCGAAATCAACAAGCACAAAGCAAGATTCATTCATTCCTTACAACCCAACAATAAAATATAAAAGCAAAGGACTAAGGGGAGGAGAGAAAGCCTTCGACGTGCACTGCCCAATGCTTCCCTCGGCCACCAAGATCTGCTCCTAGCGAACTGGCTCCTCTCGGATGCTCAGAACGCCACTCCCTTCAGCTTGTCAAGGAGAAATGCCACGACAAGTGGGATTGACGGAGAAAGATGAGACATTCTCTCTCTAACTTTTTAAGCTCAAAACAGTGGGGGACTAAAGTCCTCTTCATTGTGGCTTCCTCCTCTATTTATAGGGGAAAATTAACCCTAAGACTTGGTGTTAACCATCCTAGGAAACCCTAAAACCATGGTTGATTTACTAGAGAGTCGGGCAAAGCATAACAGTGATCCAGCCTGGGTTGCTGGCTGAGACCCGGCATAATCCCGTTGCAGGCGCCCAAGGACAGATAAAATCTGCAAGGTTAGACGCCGTCATCAACAGGACCGGCGGTTGCAGCGCCGATCCCTCCAGGCGTATTTTCGAGGTGGATTTCTCGGGCAGAGGGCACGGAGAGTTGGGGATAGCTGGCTAGAAAATATCTTTTTTCACCTTTTGTGTTCTCGAAATGCCAGTTGAACTTGGTATTTTCATTTAGCTCAGCAATCTCCTTATGCCACGGTATTTTCTTTCCTCTTTTCCTTGCTTTCAGCTTTCAATACCTGCACATCATCAGACAAGTACATTTCCCATAAAGCAGCACCGCTTGTAAAAATAAAATGCCATGGCAAATCGGAATCCACCACATGCAACTAAATGCTTCTAAATGCATCTATATGGTTCTAAATGAGCCTTTAGACATTCAATAACTTAAGTAAAAAGGTACAAAAATGTGACATTTTACGAAGTTATCAATCTCCATCAAAGACAAAGCCGTCCTCCTCACCATCTTCATCGTCCATATGGCCCATCAACCACTCGTTGCTTTCACGTATTTCCTTCAAAAGAATAGGATATGGTGTCCTTTCTTTGATATCTTCGTCGCAAAGCACGATTTGAACTTTCTTTTGTTTGTATATTTACTTTTTATCATTTTAATTTATTTTATTTTTCATTAATATTATTATTATTATTTATCTTTTTTTTTATTTTTGTAAACACTTAATTTTCGTCTGAAACTTAATTTTTTCCTGAAACTGATTTTTTTTATATTATTATTAGTATTAATATAATCTATTATCACTACTTATTAGTTGTCGGCCCTATTTTTTATTTGGTACAAAGGACAAAACGACTACATTTTGTTTATCATCTTAGAAATTCAATCTCATGGGTATCAGTTTGCAGCAACACCTGAAGTTCATTTGGTGGTTCCTCAAACCAGTGCGTCCCTTCAATTCTCTTAAAAGGTTAGCCATTCAATCAGTACCTCCGCAAAGCCCAATCTGAAATGGGTCATTGTACGTGAATCGCTAAAAGCGTCGCCTCTCGCCGCCTCCGACGACTAAATCGTCGCCTCATGTACTCGTCGTCGCCTTAGTGGTCGAAAGCTTTCTTCTAAATGTCTCGCCTCGCCTAGCGCCTCAGGCGCACTTTTTAAAACACATATCATTGTTTTCCACTTTGAAGATGGAAAAGATTGATGATCGACATTTCTGCACAAATAAGAATGTCATTTGCATAAAAAGAATGCGTTGAATTAAATAGATATATTTAATTGAATTCATTTTTTCGCATAAATACATTTCTCGTAAGTCTTTAATAAAAAGAAGATTTGTGATAACATGATATCGAAAACAAAGAGATATTTCAAAACCTTAGGTTTTGAAGAAATCATATTCAGAATGACGATATTTCAAAGACAAAATAGCTCAATCTACAGAATAATCATGGTATTGAAGGAAGAAAATGATATTTTTTTTTCAAAAAACGAATGTCTCTACTTAATTCTTGTTTCGCATCAATAAGCAAAGAGGGGAAGTTGTAATCACTCATTTTATCCGAGTGGTGACATGTTATTTTGCATATGATATATAATTTTAATACTTCATAGGCTTTAGTATTTAATTTTTATATATAGTATAAAGTTTTAAATACATAATATTAGTACATTGGTATATATTAGTTCCATATTGATTTTCATATTTGTATGGTGTTATTTAATGTTAGTATGTGTTTTCATGTTAGTATTATAATATACATATTATATGGTTTCATATTTTCATGAGCCCATATTTTAAACATTAGTCCATTTTGTAAAAAATTTCAAGTCCATTTGTAATTTTTTTATGCTCATATTTTAGCCCAAGTACATATTTATAAAAAAAATTGCATAGGGAAAGGAGAAAATTTTTGTTTGAATTTTAAAGGGAGGCAAAGGTAATTAATGTGATCCTACTTTTAAGGTGTAATTAGTGGATGGCAACTCATTCATCCATGTGCATAAGATTAAATTAATGTGAGTCTTATGGAGCTTAGATCTAAAGGTCTTAGATTGTGTTACCTCATCCATTCATGTGAAGAAAACCAACTCAAGCCTTTGACTAAAAATTTGATCCAATGACTTTGGAGCATGCTATGTCATCGATCCATTTAACACAAATGCATCATATTCGTTAGATTAAGATGAGATCTAACGGCCGAGGATCATCCCATCAAAGGTGATCGTTGGTCTCCCCTCGCCAGCGCATCACCGACGCGCGTGGAACACGCTCTAGTCCGATCTTTTTCTCTGGTCGTCGCTCGACCGATTGCCTTTTCATCATCGTTTTTCCTCCACTAGCCAGTTGTGATTTTGGTTATGTAAAGTAATGAAAAAATAGAAAAAAAAATTTGTTAGCAAAGAAACTGTTTTTACAACGGATTAATAAGTGAAAATCAACAAATCCGAGCCTAAATCCTTAGTATAAGAAGAGGTCATCATTAAACAAAAAATCACCAATCATGAACACGAAAATTAGAAGCATTAAGTAAAGAAAATCAGGCAAAATCGGAGAAGAAGAGACTCTTTTACCTTCATTGTCATCCACCACCATTTGCCAACGTTGTTCGGAGAGCTTTTTAGAAGGTGAGCTTTTCCCTTTGATTTTTTTGTTTTATTTCGGATCAAATAGAGGGGTTGGCCTAGAAAGTGAAAGCTGACGGTGGCGGAATCCACGGTGGCTGGTGTAAAATGTGGTTCTGTAAGTGGCCAGCGGTGGTCGGAAAAGTTTGTTGGTGAAGGTGATGGTGGCTTTTGAGTTCGGGTAACCTAGGTGGGTGAAGCTTGGGTTTGGTTATCTTGAGCCAAGGATTTTATATTAAGGTTGAAGAACACGTCAGGGTTTGGGGTGTGTTATTGGGGCTTTGGATAAAAATTTAAAGAAAGTTTCATTTTGGTTGTTTGATCCAAAATAATGGGTTTTGAAGTATATCTTTGGAACAAGAGTGCTTTTTTTTGGGGGGGAAAATATGAGTTTGATTTCTGAAAACATAAAATTTTGGTTTTTTTTTTTTTTTTTTTTGGGTCAAAATGGACTTTTGAAATGGATATGGGATGAGTTTTTGATTAATTTAAAGAGAAATGAGGGTCGGATGGTTAGAGAGAAAATAGGAGAATTTTTTTGGACAAAAAATGAGCATGTCTTAAAATTTGGGCTTTTATATTTGATTGGATTTTCTGGGAAATTAATTCATAAATACCCCTATAATTAGCGTTTTTACTTTGGTCTCTGACTTTTAATTTCTTTTATTTTATTCACGCGTTTGTCATAACCGAATTTCGGCTAGGAAGACCAATACGATGTTTTTGGAAAATATAAGGTTTTATGAAAAGATGGGAGTTGTAACCAATCATTTTTTAAGGTGAGATTAAAAAATATAAAAATGTAATTTTAATAAAACATTTTATTTTACTAAAAAAATATCAAGTTTTGGTCTACGAAAATAGAAATAAGGTTCTGCAGTCAGTTACACGTGGAGAATGATTAACACCCCACAACGCTCAAAATTGGTACCTAATTGATTACTCTATATTTTAAAATTAAAAATCTCGAGTTCAAAATTTTATTTTATTTAAAATTCACTATATATGCATATTTTAAAAATGATGTCATTTACCAAGACTAATAACGACAACTCCCAAGCAAAAACGGGAGCTTCATTATCGGCCACAATAAATAAACATTGCCTTCATAATTTAGAAATCATGAGGTGGGGTTTTGAAAAGGATGTTGATTTACTTCGAGAATCCATAGTGGTCATCCTCTTGCAAAAGCGGGAGATACACTACTAACCCCTTAATAAATGAATATTGCCTTAATAATATTTTTTAAAACAAAATGCAATCAAACAATTAGTTAGTGAACCTAATAATACTAAATGAATTAATTAAAGCTTCTCTCTAGCTTAAAGTGCCAAATTATAAAATTTAAAGAACCTAAGGATAAAACCTAAAAATGTGTCCTCTAATATTAATCTAAGTCATCATCTTTTAGTAAATTATTGAGTCGAATAGTCAAAATGGAACTTCGGGCAAAAGTTAGGACCAAATCAAAAATTCTCCTAAAATAAAGGACTATTTGTGAAATTAAATATAAAATGGAGGCTCTAAATATTAACCTATTCAAATTTAATCAATTATGCAATTTGAATGATTAAAGTGGAACCTCGAGCAAAAGCGAAAATCAAATTAAGAATTCACCTAAATTTAAGGACTAAATTTAAAAAAGGCCTAAAGTGAAGGCTCTAATATTAATCCTAATTCATTTTAATCAATTATTTGATTCAAATAATTACAGTAAAACCTTGAGCAAAAGCAAGGACCAAATTAAGAATTCACCTAAATTTAAGGACTAAGTTTGGAAAAAGGCCTAAAGTGAAGGCTCTAATATTAATCCTAATTAATTTTAATCAATTATTTGATTCGAATAATTAAAGTGGAAACTTGAGCAAAAGTGAAAACCAAATTAAGAATTTACCTAAATTTAAGGACTAAGTTTGAGAAAAAGGCCTAAAGTGAAGGATCGAATATTAATCCTAATTAATTTTAATCAATTATTCAATTTGAATCTAAATTAAAAGCTCTAGAGACTAAATCGAAGGGAATCTAAATTTAAAGAGTAATTAAGGATATGGTAACCTAAACTAGGACCAAAATGTTAAAAGTCTAAATCTAAGGACTTAATCTAAAGACCTAAATAAACTATCAAGGACTAAATTAAACTAAATTAAAAAAGACAATTAATAAACACAAAATGACTAAATTAAAATAATTATAAAATACATAGTCAAAATTAATAAGAAAAACTAGTGACTAAGTTAAAATAAAAACATAATATAAAGACCAAACAACAAGGAAATAAAGTTGGAAATTAAAGGATTAAAATGCACATATTGCTAATTTAAAGGAAAAATAAAATAACCAAATTTAAATGACAAAAATTTAAATAACAAAAAATAAATCAATCGAATAAAATATACGAGTTAGGGGTTAATATTTTGAAATATTACCCGGACCATAAATAACACAAAACATACCCCAATGCAGGTCATCGTGAGGTCGTAGAATGATTTGAATATATTTTATAAGTTAGATGTTAGAAGTTAGAAAATTAACAGGTTAGCGATTAAAATTAAAATTTTACCCGGACCATGAATAACGCGAATCATACCCTAGAGCGGGTCATAACGAGGTTATATTAGCGTTTAATATCCATATTTTAATATTAGGAACCAACATATAATAAAATAAAAAAATAAAAGTAAAATCAGAACTAATCAGTGACTAAAATGTATAAACTGCAATTATCAAATACCAATCTCAATTAAATAAGGAAACATGACCCAAACAGTGGCTAAAATGAAGTAATATAAAGACCAGTGGCTAATTTCAGAGAAATAACATAGCATAATAGTGATTAAATTGAAGCAAAGTAAAAGTAGAGTGTAAAAAATCAGAGAAAATAGCAAAACAATGCACCTGGTGACTAAAATGCAAGAAGACAGCTAAGTTATAGGGACCTATATGGTGATTTATCCCAAAACCAAGGTTATAAGTTCATATTTTTCCATATTTGGCTAAAAACAACCCTAGCCACAAAACACTCATTCCCTTTATTTTTTTCCACTTAATGCTCTCCCTTTTTCCTCTCAAAAACTCGGATGTGGGCTTCAAAAACCCCTACGTCGGCCACCATATTTCGGTGGCCACTCACTCCAACAACCGTGTTGAATCGACCCCAAATCAAAGCTAAACAAAAACCCAAATCCCCTCATATCATCTATCTCACCAAGAGCCCTAACCTCTCAAAAAAAGCTCCGAAAATTGGTCACTTTCACCCCTCAACCTCTACCGGTGGTTGGACTCTAAACCTTAAATCAAAATAACCACAAAAGCTCCCTAAATAAAACCTAAAGCCCTAATTTGGGGTTAAAATCCTTAAGTCCATATCCCAGCTTCTCCCGATGCTACAGTTCTTGACTCACCGGCGACATATACTCCGACGAGGAGGCTAAACGACCAAGGTAAAAGAAAAACCCATGCATGCAAGGCTTTTTTGCTCGAGAAAAAAATGAGGTAAAAATACCTCCATATTGCTTCTGATATTTTAGGGAGTTCAAAATATGCCAACCCCTTTACAGCAAAAGTTGGTGTTTTTATAACCCTTTATATGTGTAGACACTACTTTTCGCCCAGCAACCTCTCGTCGGAGATCACAGCACCAACATCACCAAGTCAACAAAAAAGATTCGGTGCCCACCATTACCAGCCTGTTGCCACCATCGCCCTTTCCAGCTGCTCCTGCAAAAGAATAGAAACATCATTACACACACAACAAATGGTATTTTTATATATAAAAAAATCAATGTAAAATGGCTATAAAAAGCCGAATGAAAATGTAATTATCAAATACCAATCATAACCCGGTTCCTCTTGATTTTTCAGTGGGAATTCTCATCGATAAAATTTTTTCCAGCACTAGAAATTTACGAGCAAAGAGGTATTTTTTTCTTATTCGGTTTATCAGTTCAACTATTAGAATGCAATTCTAGGGTAGAGTCTAGTTTCTAATTAGTTTTGGTGTTATGTAAATTCGGTGATATCTAAAAATATATATATATTTTTTAAGATAGGAGATTTTCGTATCTAAATCTAAAATCGAAAGCAAAAATTCCAAGGTATTCTAGTAGGTTTTACGCTTTGTTTATTTGCTAACGTTTTAGAATATAGCTAAAAGACGATCTAAATTATAATTTCGTTCGTGGCTTTCATACAAATCTTACGATTGCTTAAAAAAATAAATAGATAGGGGTTCGAAACTCACCTTGTTGCCAGTAGGTTCACCGGAGAGAATGTAGAGTAGTAGATCGATTTTGGGGTTAAGGGATCACCGTCTATGGTGGTGCATCTTTGGCTTGGCTCTCGCACAAGGGTAGAGAGGTCATCGGTTGGGTTGTTGAGGTGCTGACCAAGGTGTTACCATGCCTTACAGTCTCTGTCGGAATAGAGTGGCTACCCATGTAGGGTGGCCGAGGCGACAGAGCTTAGTTCGTTGGTGAGCTAGCTGTCGTGATGGGTGTTGTGCGGTTAGTGAGCGAAAGATAGAAGAAAAAAGGCTAGGGATGCAACAAAATTCAAACAGAATTAATTTGGGGGAGGGGAAGATATTCATATTTTGATTTTGGGCAAATCACACTAAGGTCCCTATACCTTTAGTGTGTATTTGCAATTAGGTCATTAAATTTTGGGTTTATTACACGTAATTCCTCTAGCTTTATGAATCCAGTTGTATTTTGGTTATTAATTCAGGGGGAACTTGTAGTATGGATCCTTGCCCTTAGCAGATATAACGTTTGGAGCTTTTGTTCGTTGGTAAATTTCTCTTAGGTCCTTGAAATTTGGCCATGTTTTACGTTTAGATCATCAGATTCCCCTTTTGTTGTTTATTTCGATTTAGTCCACATATTATGTTTTATTTTATTTTCTGGTCATTTTTATTCTTTATGGTATTTTATTTATGACACCATGTTTACATTTATTTTAATTTAGACCCTCTAGCATCAGTTATTTTATCATTTGATTCTGATTTATTTATTTATTTTAGTTTAGTCACTATTAGTTTTTGATGTAGCCACTGCTATTTTAATTTTTGCATTTGATCCTTGTTTTATTTTTGTTTCCAATGTTAGTTTCATTTTTTAACTTTATTTATGATCTTTTTTAGGATAATTCTAATTGATGAAAAGATAAATAATTACGATTGAATTTTTAATTTTAATTTTAATTTTCGCAATTAAGACAACCGATAAATTAAATGGTACCGAAAGGGCAGTTTAAGGGTGCTAATCATTCCTTAACTGTAACCGACTCCCGAGCTCGACATATTTTTGGT